ATCCAATAAAAGGTTATGGATATTCAATGGATGAGAGCTATGCAAAGCTACAGAGTCATTCTCTACAAGCTGCTTCTATATGGTTAGGAAAAGCTGTAAGTCTTCCAGAGATGCACTTACTGGTGCTGTTATCACACCCAATTACCTGGCTACTGTCATCCTCTTCTCTTTTCTTGCAGAAAAGCTTTATGGACTTTTCAAAGGAGCCGGCTCTTTATATAATTTATTCAAACTATGCAATTCCAGCCTGCCTCAAATGACAACTCTGGATTGATTTGCATCATGATCCATTTGCTTGTTTTCTTGGCTTCGGATGGCATTCTCAAGAATTTTCTCCAACACCCATGTTTTCTTTTCACATTCACCCTAACACCTTTTTTAATTTCGTTCCATAGTTCCTCCGATTTCCTCTCAAGTGATTCCAGACTTGCTTCAAAGCAATTCCTGATATTCTTGTTGAAAATGGTAGCTATGTACTCAAGATCACATTATAGAAACTCCTTGGCTTCCTTTTCCCACTTTAGCTGGACTTCCAACTTGAAAATGAACAGTCCGTGAACAAATCTATAGTCAATTCCTGGCTACATCTTTGCTGTTATACTTGACCTCTTGGATCGGGGCTGTTTTTATAATGTATTACTTTGGAATTGTTATGCAGTTTCATGGTTTTGTTCCTTTTGAGTTAAACAATGTGGTAAAGTATAGAAATGTTTGTATAGCTCTCTGTAAATAAATACATAATGAGGGTAACTGAACCCAATAAGTAGGGTAATTGTAATTGCCTGGCAATTATGGATCTCAACTCAAGGCTGCATTTATAAATGTGGAATACGTGCACTGAATTTTTCAACAAAACGCATTCACAGGATTGTAACAGCACAATTTTGTTTTTGTTGCAAAGACTTGTTTTTATCGCAAAAGGGGTTGAAGCAACATCCACAGCAACTAGGAAATGCAACCTTGGAGGATCCCATGAGTGAGAATATGCTGGGGTCAAAAATGACTGAAATACAGACCTTGACTCTTGTGATAGCTGCTAAACTAAATTTCACTAGGTATGCAGGCTCTGTGCTTTAGTTATATTCATCTTTTTATGGTTTAAACTTTCACAGTCTCTTTAAGTTATCTGGATCATGGCTTATTCTCTATGTGTAATGGCTCCATATGAATACATTGCAGAGACGGGGCATGTGATTTTGCAGGTCAAATTTCCTATATAAAGATCCGTTCTTTCTGTATTTCCAACAGCCACAGCTAAGCATCTAGTCAGGGATCTCCAAACTTGGCAACTTTAAGACTTGTGGACTTCAACTCCCAGAATTCCTCAGCCAGCTTAAAGTTGCCAAAGTTGAAGACCCCTGATCTAGGGTAAATAGAACCGTGAAAAAACTTCAGCACAAGACCTTGAAGAGCTGCTAACAGAAGTAGCCAATGTAACTTGCTTTAATGTAAGATTTCTTATATCTTTTCTCAGTGATTTCCAGCGACTGCTCTGCACACACTGAGGTTTTGCTGAATAGTCTGCCCAGCTGAAACCGTTCTTCAACTGCAGTGAAGGAGGCTATCTTTTAATTCATCAGAATCAGATCACAGAAGGTTGGAAGGAAACAACATAGCACCTCATCTGCTTCATTAAAAATACAAAGCATACTATTTATGCAGGCGGAGGACTTGGCAAGACTTTGCTTCTTCTCGGTGCGAGCAACCCAAAATTTGATTCCTTTGCTGATTATTCTTTTTTCCGGCATTATGAGTTTGCATAGCCCTTAGAGTCTATTGAAATCCAAATTTCCCCCTAAAATGGCTTTCAACACGATGCATTCCTCCTTGGACCATGAAATAATTCATGCGTTTTCTGTTTTATGGCTGCCTAAATCTCATCCAGAATAGATTTCTACTCCTCTCAGGGAAATGTCTAAGGGAGAATATATTAAATAAATCCCATTCAGATAAGATAAACAGGAAGTGGAGGATTTTCGGTTTTCTATCGTGTGCTCAGCTGTCCATTTTGTATCGTTTCTTTTCTGAGAAACCAGGATCCATATTATTGATCTAATAACTGTGCACTAAAAAATGCTATACCTTGTTTATGGAGCAGATGCTAGTAATTAAAATGCAAGTCTTTTTTTTTTAATGAACAATCCAGCTTGTTTGATGTGAGCCTTTAAGTAAAACAGGGCATTCTTGTGATCGATACTTAATGCAACAGAAATAGAAATGATTTGCAAGGCATCATGGAAACCACATTAAAAAAAACCCTCTTTACTGTATATAATCATGAATATAAATACAGTACTAAATGCAGCCATCTGGCTGACAATCTTAACTGCGGCTTATTTTGGGGGTAGGGCTTATATTACAAGCATCCTGAAAAATCATGCTAGGGCTTATTTTTTGATTGGGTCTTATTTTGGGGGAAACACGGTAATTCCTCAGTGTATGCATATACCTGGATATCTTTCTTTTCTCATATAAAGCTGCTTTTATGGAATCCCAGAATGCTACAAAGAAACCCTGAATGTTTTGGGGGGGAGGTGAGAACAAATTTAATATGAGAAGTGTGAAAAACAGTTCCATGTCATTCTAGAAGCAAACGTGAATAAGGCCATGGAGGATGATATCCAGTGACTGAATGGATGGCTATATACTTGAAACAGTTGAAAGCAGCCAATAGAGTTGGACTGCTGACCATGTTGTCATCACCACAATCACCTCTGAGCTATCAAAATCATGTGAAATGGCAAAGTTTGTATTTAGAGAAGATGGGAATAGGCCAAAACATACAGACTTAGATAGCCTTCAACTCTGAATAAAGAATGAAATGGAGGCAGCACATCAGTCCAAGTCCTTAAAGAACAGTTACCAAAACATCTCTGGCCTACAGCCATTAATTAATCAGATTTTTATTCTGCCCATCTCACCTAAGAGAACCAGTTTGGTCTAATGGTTAAGACACTAGGTAAAAAGCAAAAGACCATGAGTTCAACTCTTGCCTCAACCATGAAAGCCACCTAGGTGATCTTGGGCAAGTTACTCTCTCTCAGCCCAACTCACCTCACAGGGTTGTTGTTGAGGAGAAAGTAGTAGTAGGAAAGTGTGTTGGATATGTTCACTGCCTTGAGTTATAAAATAATAAAGGTGGGAAACAAACAAACAAACAAACAAATAACAAGGATGTGTGGATAACCCTTTAGAAAAAAATCTAATTGTTTCACTCATAACATTTATAATTACATCTGGAAGTGTGACACTCAACTTAAGCCTAGTCACACATACTTAAAATTGTGTTTCTAAACTAACTTGGACTCAGATTCCTTCTTAGAATGCTCAAAATTCCCTGTTCAAAAGAGTAATTCTACTAGTCCTATCTTGATGCACCAACATGGAACATTCACATAGAACTGGGACACAAAGGGAAAAAAAAAGGTAATAGCTGCAACAGCATGAATTATGCAAATGTTATTTATATTATTTAAAATCTGCCTGCTTTATAATTCAGTGAAATATCTTTCCACTGTCTGAAAATCTGCAGAAGCTTTGGGAAAATTGTAACATAAGCTACGGCACAAGAAAAACAAGACTCTTGTGCCGGAATTGAATGAATGGGCTTCATATAGTATCACAAACGCATGAAGTTTATTGCAGATATTGTGCGCACTTGGTATCAGGATAAGATGCTGCCTGGTGCTGAGAACACAAAATTGGGACAGATAACAGCCAGTGGAGTACAGTAGTTAAGGGAGTGGGGAAACCTAAATTCAAGTTCCCCTTTACCTACGAACGCTCACAGCGCTTCTGCACCAATCAACAATATAACTAGGAGGATCGTTGTTGTAGGGGAGAAAAATGATGGAACATTGTTGTGTATATTGCCCTGAGCTAGTGTACAAAAGAGATATAAATCTAATAAAGAAACAAACAAAATATTTAACACCAAGTGCTGTCCACTTTTCAAGTGGAGTCCACCTTAATTTATCTTAAAGAGCACCAGGGAAGAAGAATTTAGGGGACATCCACAAAGTAACCAAAAGTAACAATACAATTACGGTAATCCTGTTTGCCAGCTGGTGCAGAGAGGCTGAAGACTGAGGTAGAACCAAGCCAGTGACAAGTATTGAAACCCTAGAAATTAAATTAAGAGGATTCTTTTTAAAATATCTTCCTTCATTTATATTATGGCCAAAATAGGTGCAAAACACCCCACTGCTTGGGAGTACGTATTCACCCCCAGCCAATTAATATGGTAGAATCACTTTCTAGTTTTTAAACACACACTCTGTTAACTTTATAATTTTATCCCATATATACAAAATTCACTGGACACTGAAAGCTAACACATTAGTAGTATAGGTTGACTCTGAATGTTCAGATATGGTGCTTCTGTAGACAAAGAGCTTTAATGTCTACTTATATTACCGTGTTTCTCATATAATAAGGCCGGGTCTTTTTTTTTTTGAGCCCTGAAAAAATGGCTAGGCCGTCTTTTCGGGCGTGACTTAATCCCCCTCTTTGCATCTTCGGGCAGGCGGCTACGGTTTGGATGTTGACCTCAGTGTTGGTGGGGCACTTCGTATCGGGGTCAATGCAGGAAGCACCATATCCGGGTGTGCAACAAAAGTACTTCCTAATGGCAAGCCCCCCCCCCACCATCCCCCCCCATTTCGCATGTTTTAATATAGGCCTTAATTTGGGGGGAGGGGCTTAATTTCATTTCATGCCTATAAAACATGCTGGGACTTCCTATTGGGGGAGGCCGTATTGTTGGAAAAACAGGGTATTTACTACTGACTACCTAGAAGGAGACAGTCAGAGTTAGATGGATATCTGTTTATAGACTGTAAATGTCCTACTGCTGAACTGTTTCATAATAAATTGAAGAATGATTTCATGAAGGGTTTTTAAATATTCAAAATATCACAAAACCTGTAACATATCTGATAAAAGTAAATATAGTAATGTTATTTTCCCTTAAAAATATCAGGTGGAAAAATGTTGATTACCTTTATCAAGAGACGCTCCAGCCATGTGGTAGAAGCTTAAAGCTGTGTCAACGTCATTTATGTTTTTCAGGAATGTAAAGAAGTTCTCTACTTCCTCAAATGTTAATCCCTGCAGTGAAGAGGAATAAAATGACATATTTAAAGGGGAAAAAATAGATAGAAAACAAGGATGCTGACAATGTGTAAATTCACCTAGACTATTTTATGTTCTGTCCCACCTGTATCCACAGGTGAGAGTTTCAAGTTACAGAGTTCAAATACTTTACCCAAACAAAACCAGAGACAGAAGATTCAATTGCTCTGTTATCACAGTCCTTTGGCAATCCTCCTAGAATCTGTCTGGCAATTCTGTATAGTTCGTAAATCAGAACGCTGTAGTCAGACGCACTTCTTTCCAAGGCAAAATCCACTTTGTTTCCAGCAAAGATTACGAATTCGTACGCTCCCTTATATCCTCTGAGAGAGGGCGTGTCAGTCTCATTAATTAATCCTTTGCTGGATTTCTCTTTTCTAATTGAGATTGATGTCTCAATCTTCTCCTAGTTCTGGCATCCAGTCAGCATCCGGCAGTTTCATCACCACTTGAAGCCTCTGACACACTTTACTGATTAACAGTTAACACCTGAGGTGCAATCAGGGAAGTAGATTCAGGAGAGGGAGTGGACTCTGAAACCTCCAATAAATCAGGCTCATATCTCAGATCCAACTCCTCTCCTTCTACTTGACTCCCCTCTAAGTCACTTAATAATGCAGGCTCGAATCTCAGTGCCAGATCTTCTTCATCGCTTGAACCCACATCTGCTGACTGATCAGGTTCGAATCTCAGAGTCACAACAATTTTATATTTGCAGTCCATTTTTGACTTAGCTATCTTCTCCTGGTATAAGAACCCGGCCTGTTTCTCTGGGATAATCACCATCATTAATATAATAATATAATCAGCTTTACTTTAGTTCAAATGTTAGCCAATTTTACCAATCCATCAGATCAATACAAATGGCCTCTTGTTTTTAGCAATGGAGGAAATAAAGAGTTTATTTCTCTAGAAAATTGGAAATATTTCGCTGTCAACGTATTGTATGTCAAAGCATTTACAGATTGAACTATGAACTAGCATGTTTCTAACGTGCTGTTCCTAATTTCTAAACTACAGTTGGATGGCTATTTATTTATTTTATATTTCATGTTTCTTAACTATCCATCTCTCCCGGATTAGATAGCCTTCCTGTCTACTTATATTATTTTCTATTAGGAATAGAAGAACAATTTATTCTATTCTGTTTGGTAAATGTTTTTACATTTACTAACGGCACTTGCAGGTTTATGCTTTCATGTACCAGCAGGTATTTATTACAGTAGGATCCATTTTATACTACTGAAACATCATTTGCCAGAAGGGCTTATTCTAGGAAGAAAATCTACAAAAATGTGCATTTTTAACGTAAAGGATGCCTGCCACCTGCCTTAGGAAAAGAATGGTGGCCAAAATAGGTGCTTTTAAAATGGGAGTATCTAAAAATGAAAATACGGTAACAAATAGGCAAAAAATAATGAAAAGCAAATTAGTAAGCCAAACAGAAGTAACATTTTAATGACTCATTTGATTGTCCTGGATAGAATAGAAAACCAATTTCCCAGTTTGTAATCAATTTGACATATACAGCCAGACTACAGTATGTTGCTTGCAAGATTAAATTATGCTAAAAATGGAATAGGCAGGTTTAACACAAAACACATTTGCTACAAACGTTCTTCTGGAACAGCTGAGTGGTAAGAAATACTGTTGTTGTTTTTTTTCAAAGAGAAAAAAATCTGGGCAAAAGCAGGAATAATTAAGTCTGAATTTCAGCTAGCAGGTTCCGCAGTAGATGACTTATCTAGTTTAATTAGTTTCAGTATAGCTCTCAAGAAGGAAGTTGTAAAAAGTTTGATCTAGAATTGAACGCATATTGCTACCCTTGAATCCTTTCTATGGATATTCAAATCTATTTAAAGAAACACTACGTTCTAAACAATTGCCAACAAAGCAAGCTTCCAAAATGGAACTATGACTTGTATTCATTGTCTCAGATATTATGCAATTTATAAGTCTCCTTGTCGACATGCAAATATTCAATTATTTTCCCCTTGCTTGATGAAAATGAACAGTTGCTGTGGCTATGAAGATTAATAGCCAGTAAGCATGTCAGCTATACAATGCCAATTAGACAAAGAGGCCCCTATTTTGATTTTTTACAATTTCTCCTACTCAGTGTTCCAAATGACAAGCATAGCAACCATCTGATTAAGATATTCAAAGTTCTAAATAATTATTTTATTTGTACTGTGGTTAGTAACGGTCTAGGATGAAGATGAATCAAAATATATTTGAATCAGTGTCCTGGAGCCCTTGACAGAGAGAAATAAAAAATAGTTTTGAATCTGGACTTTTAGAGGATGCAGGATAAAACCTGTGCTTGAAGAGAAAGAAACAGCACAGTGTTTTAAGAATAGATAATACATTGTCGAGTAGGGATTTTAGCAGGGGACTACAAGATGAGAGCAATAACGTTGAACTTTCTTTCCAACATTGATTTAAAGAAAATAACATTTTCTTGACGACAATTAATTTTAGGGATGGGGGAAATGTCTGTGAGTGCTGTAATTTGCATGAAAATTGGAATCCCTTGAATTGATGTAGGAGATTGTCCATGCTGAGACAGAAGGCGGGGTCAAATGTATCACCAGTTTAGAGTTGCTACCCTCCCATAAGAGACCTAAAGTCCAGTTCTCCTTGAATTCTGTTATCTAGAGCCAAATTTGCCTTGACTGTTAGTAGATTAGATTCTTGTATATAGATAGCATTTAATAAGCTTTAAGTGCATAGAACTAATCTCCTGTTCCTAGTTACTTGAGCCTGACAATTAATTTGAAAAACCAAAGGAACCCTACATGTAATTAAAGTAGAATTAGGTTTGGCCCTATATTATCTAAACCAGTGTTTCTTAACTTTGGAAACTTTAAGATGTGGAGAATTTTGGGAGGCAAAACAAAGCAAAGAAAAAATGTCCTGTCCTTTGTGATTTGTAATCAAAACATAGGATAAGATATCATTTAAGGAGAAATATGATTATACAAAGAGAGGAGAGGTTTCTGATTTTTTTTAAAAAAGCAAAGAAAATACAACAATTTCAGTAAGTTTTAGGCATCTGGATTAACTGGTGTAAAGGAATTTAGAGATGGTCTTGGGCTGAAACAGCTACTAAGGGGGAAGCAAAATACATGCCATCAAGGAGAAACTTGGAGAAGTGATGTCCCAGTCCAATATTTGAAAGAAATGTGAGAAAGAAGCTCAAGATACCCCCACCTTGAGTTTGTTCGGTGTAAGATGACACAGACAGACCTCAAGACTGATGTTAGCCCTTCAAGGTAAGCCAGTTCAAGAAAAAGCCACATTGGGGATTTCGGGAATGCTACTCTGTTGTTGCATCATCAACAACTATCCGATGACTTAGTTTATTTCTTCCTTCTCCTTTAACAGTTCTTTCATATCTTCCTCAAGGCCATCTCTAAACTCCTCTACAACCGGAACAGAAATTTAATAGCAAGGATGACTTCCAAGTACCAGCTGATAATGAATGAGTTCACACTATCTTCACAGCTAAAGCACACAGAGCATGTCAATGCTAAAAATGACTTACATAAGTTGCTCAAGAGTAGATCATCTTTCTTACAAGCTATTAATAAAACACAGTTCACAGGAAACTGCTAGGAATCAGAAAAACACTTTTAATGGCATTACGATGTTAAATGGACTTGCTGAAGAACTGATTTTTCTGAACATTCGAGTTGTCCAGCCATGATAAAAGAACCAATTTTTTGCCCTGAATATTTCACTGCAAAACTATTCAGGCTAAGAGATATTGGAAAGAAGGATATATTGCAGTCATTCTCAGCGTCGACTAGCTTGATCCGATAATCCCCAAACTGCCTGATAGAAGTCCAGCAAATGCAGCTTGTGCTGGCAGTCATTTTGATAATGGGAGCTACGGGCCAATATATCTTTAAAAAAATAATGGTTGGTTAAACTGGAAGGAATCTGATTTACGTCCTTTCCTATTGCACCCGTAAGTCTGGCGTTCTTGCTTGTCAAATATATATACCTTTACCTTTTCTTGCAAATATATACTTCAGAGCACACCGTGTTAGATAATATGGAGGTTAACCTATGGAGGTAAACGTGTCTCTTGCTGTAGAAAGGAATTGCTTTGGGTGATTTTCAAGCAGAGTTCCAGGGATTCTTCAATGAGATTTTTTTATAAAATGAGGTCACAAGATGCTGCTTAAGAGTCTGTCCTTATAGGGGAAATTCATTCAAAATCAGAATGTTTTCAATAGTGAGAGGGTCAATTGAAAATTGAGTGGGTGTCCTGTAATATATCAGAAACTCAGCAATATGCAGAGATGCCCCAGGGTACCATGCGCAGACAAATCCATTGTGAAAAGCAAAAATGCAAAAAAAGCATCTTGGGCTCATTCTCAGCCTTTGTTTTAATACTCAGACTGCAATCATATTTTTCCTGGAAATACTTTCCCATGAACATGGTGCAAGTTGCTTCTGAATAAATATGCTCAAAGTTAAAGGTTCCCCTCGCACATATGTGCTCATCGTTTCTGGTTCTGGGTGGTGGTGCTCATCTTCGTTACAAAGCTGATGAGCCAGCGCTGTCCTAAGATGTCTCCATGGTCATGTGGCTGGCATTGCTAAACGCCGAGGGTGCACAGAATGGTATTACTACATCAAAGTGGTTCCTATTTTTCTACTTGCATTTTTAATGCTTTTGAACTGCTAGGTTGGGGAAGCTGGGATAAGTAATGGGAGCTCACTCGGTTACACGGTGCTAGGGATTCGAACCGCCAAACTGCTGACCTTTCTGATCGACAAGCTCAGCATCTTAGCCACTGAGCTACTCTAAGCATATCCTAAATATGCTTAGAGTCACACTATTCATGGATTTAACCTACTATATTTAATAATTTTTCTCCTTCACCTTCTCTTTTATTCTAAATTTACAGATCAATTCCCAACTCACTCCCATGGCTACTGAAAAGTAAATATTCTCAGGGAAGAAAAGAAAAACAGACATTTAGAATATCAAACTAAATATAAAATATGTGTGTAAATAAATAGCTTAGGCCAGGGTAGGAAAAAACAAACAAACAAAACTGTTTTCTTCAAGAAGTACCCCATTTAATATCAAACCACAAACTGCTTTCCTTTAATTTTAACATTTTAATGTCCTGACTCTGGTAAAAAATAGGTTGTAATTTCTTCTGTGTGACATCCTCTTAGTACATTGGGCTTCTCTTGTTGAGGCTAAACATATCTAACCCTTCTTTCTTCACAGGGCTTAAGTTTCTGTTTTCCTGACCCTATTTTCTACTCTTTTCTGAGTCAGTTACAATTCTTCTGAATTAGAGGTATGGAAAATGTTTTGAATTCAAACCTTTTCAAGCTTGAAATGGGCTTTTTTTCAATGATTCAGGAAGTGTTTTAAGCTTGGAACAGGCCTGATTTGAGGTGGAAGCATTCACAATAGTTAAAACAACTGCTTCAAACTTAATTTTCTGCACATCATTGTGCTGCACTTTTCTTAAATATGGTTTCTGACTAAAGCAGAATAAAATGGAACAATGACTTCCCAGGCATTGGAAGCAGTATTTTTTGTAGATGTACTCTAAAATGTAACTTGCCTTTCTGAAGAATACTGTCAGCTTTGGAAGCCATATTGAGATCAGAGGCTCCCATGCTGCCACATTTGAGCCTGGGAAAGTGGGAGGGGGGAATTTCTTGGAATGTATCTAGTTAGACAAAATAACATTCTTTTTCTGATTCAAGGTCAGGTTGTTTTGCACATAAGTGAGAGGAAGTCTTAACTTGGGGCAGATGGTGATTGGGCCATGTGATGTGATTGTTGGGTGCAGGGGATGGATTTTGTAGTTTTTACTTATTGTAAGGAAGCCCAGAACTTTCAGATTCGGGATTCCCTAGTTGTGCCAGTTACTATCCAAATAAAAAGGAACCTTTGAGAAGATGTCTGTCTCGGAGTTATTGGGTGGAATGGAAGGTTGCTGGAACGCTGGCAACTACATGACCCCTCTGATTCCATCAGTCTGCAATCAACTACCCTTAGTGTTTGACTTACAACCATTCATTTAGTGACAGTTCAAAATTACAACTGAAAAAAGTGACTTGTGATTGTTTTCCACACTTACAACCATTGTAGTCATCTAGTCAAAATTTAGATGCTTGGCAACTGGCGGGTATTTATGATGGTTGCAGGTCCCTGGCTCACCTCATCACCTTTTGTGACCTTCCCACAAGCAAAGTCAAAGGGGAAGCCAGATTCACTTAATAACGGTGTTGCTAACTGAACAACTGTAATAATTTAGCTAAGAACTGTGACAAGAAAGGCTATAAAACGGGGCTTAACCAATGTCTCACTTAGCAACAGAAATTTGGGGCTCAATTGTGGTCATAACTCAAGGACTACCTGTACTACTCTAAGACCTTTTTCATAAGTACTGTCATCTAAGTCAGGTAATGGCTACATGTTTCTTAAGTGAAAAACTTTTCATCTGTCAATCAAAATCGTTCTCAATCTTATTTCTGTCTTATTCACATAATGATGATCCCATCCGATGTATGGTACCTGCAACCTTGATCACCATTTCCTTCATTCCTCTGGCTGAATCTTTAATAAAAATATTGAAAGAGTATAAACTCCATTTGTGATCCTTTAGATACTCCACTCTCAGTACGTACTTCTAGTTTGCTGAATAACTTAAAGAGCACTCTTTGAGTATGGCTCGAAGCCAGCTATTTATCCATATCATTGCTATGTGTTTAGCTAACCTGTAACTGGTTTGCTTATCAAACTATTTTGAACTGATCTGTCAAGCGCTTTGCTAAAATCCAAACTAAAGACGTCCTTTCCATTCAAGTATGTTTATTCAAAGGGTGTGCATGTCTTTTAGCTTGCTTTCATTCCTGCAGTGCCACTAATCATTTTCCTCTTAACTTTATGAACCCAGTTGCCATAATATTTTTCCTAGCAAAAGCGTGCATTTAAATCGCAAATTTCCTAGCCACAAGGACAATTAACTCAAGGCCACAGAAATAAGTTATGCATCCTTCCCTGGTTAAACTGGGGATCAAGGATTTCAGATGAGCATATTGTTACAAATGGTTTTTTCCTCTTGTTTCTAACCCTTGACTTCTTTACAACGTTGTGGGTCAATGTTTCTTCTAGCATGGAACGACAGTAATTTATAGAACGACAGTAATTTATAGAATGATGCTTTCTATGACATAAATAACAGAGTCGGAAGGGTCCTTAGAGGTCTTCTAGTCCAACCCCCTGCACAGCCCAACCCCCCTTTACCATTTCAGACAAATGGTTGTCCAATCTCTTCTTTAAAAACTCCAGCGTTGGAGCACCCACAACTTCTGGAGACAAGACATTCCACTGATCAATTGTTTTAACTGACAGGAACACTTATGATGCAAACAATTATCTTTAATAATTTTTTTCAGCCGCTTTCCATCATATTGCTCCAAAAGGTTACTAACCACTGCATCCTGGAAATGCTTCTTGAGTTGCTTCAGCATCACTGTCAATTTTTTGGATTGTACTCCACTATAAGCCAGCAGCATGCTGCCAAATTGGCGTTCTGTGATTCGACCATTTACAGGGTCATGCCTTTCAAACTGGAAGACAAAAGGGGAAAGAGAGAAGTTACTTAGAATGGCACCTGCTCATGTCATATCAATACTATTTATTGAAAATTTCTCTTCCTTGTGAAATCAGTGCATTCACAAAAATAGCGAGAAGAATAAAGGATCAGAAAAGGACCGCTGACTGCATTAAATGCCACACTCAACACTCTTATATTTGTAATTACAACATTAGTAAGCATTTAATATACAACATAGGTATAAAGTTGATATTAATACTTCAAGAATGTAATTATTATCTTGTCTATTTTATGGAAATTATAAATGAACCACCAAAGTGAGCATCGGTATTTCTTCTGAGCTATGAATTACTCTCAACTTAAGATTCTTAGTAAAATACTGCAAGATAAAATTTTGTTAGAGACACACTCTATCTTACACTAACAAAATATTAACGTATTAAAAACAATTGTTGATAATATATTCATAATAAATACTTTAACTGTCTTGAGATTCTTATCCCATGCAACCTCTTACAGATAACTACTCTAATGTGATGTGAATATAATATAAAAGAAGGTCTCTTTAAATTTTAATGGATGGCACAGCAGACTTTAAATCTTAAATATTGGGACAAGGTTAATATTCATATGATGAAGTATTATATTTTACATGGAATTTTATGTATGCATCAACAAAATGTTTGCAGAAATGTATTACAATATGTTGTAAATTTGGGGGCGGGGGAGTGTGCCTTTTTTAACAACTCCAATTTATCTTCATTAACCTTTCAATACATCAGTTCAAAAGATCAGATGGATGTTCAAGGTTTCCATAATCTCTTTTGTACATAACATCAATTCAATCTTGATTGGTCTTCAATTAATTGCTGGTATTCACAAAGATTTTCTCCTTTCAAGGAATAAAAATTGCCAATGAAAATACATGATATAGAAATAAACATGATGTTAATGTGATAACCTGCTCTTCAGATGTTTTCCTTCACACTGTCAGAACCTTTCTGGAAGAGTATTATGGCATTTAAATAAGCCTGCAAATTAATCCAAACTCGTTCAACTGGCTGCAATTTTTTACTCAATCTGACAGCATGTAATATTTCCTAAATTTCACAGATCCATCAAAAACTCAATAATCAACACATGCCAAGGTCAAAATGGACAAAGATTGCAGAAGCATGCTATACCTTATGTCTCAATGAGGATTTTTTTTTTTTAAAAAAATCTGTATTTAACAAAGAAAGTCAATTTGGTACAGGTCTTAGGCACCAACCTACAAGCCTAGAGACTATTACTGTTACTCCTGCCTTGTAAATGAAGTCAGCGGAGTGACTTCGCATCACTCTTTCTTATGCATAGAAGAAAGCAATGGCAAACAACTTCTAAAAATATTGCCATGAGTAAAGACTGACTCACCAGTACAAAAATGAAACAACGAATATTCAACCAAGGAAGGACTGAACCTGGCATTGCTAGAGATGTGGCAGGACCCTCCATAAGTCCCCTCTCCCAGATCTTTCTTGATGGTCCAAATCAAGGCAAGAGAAGGCAAGTCACAGACACTATAAACTCTTCAGTCACGTAGGGTTTTAAAAGTGACAATCAACACCTTGAACTGTATCCAGAAGCTAACAGGCAGCTAGTGCAGCTCCTTATTACATGGCATGTTTTGTCAGTGTGGCCATAATTACTTGAATTGTTTTATTTTGCATCTGCTGAATGGATGGTCATTTTGGATGGTCTTGATTGTTTCTATCTAATTACTAATGTTCAAATACACCTAATCCATCCTCCCTTCTTAAAATTTATTTGTTAAGATGAATTGACTTTTTCATCCTAAGTACAGATCAGTGAAGAAAGAAAGAATTTCTCCTTTTTTCATATATTCACCCAAATGTAATAAAGCCGACGTGGATGACATAGGAAAAAAATAGGAGTGTAAGAAAAAGGAGGAGGAGCAGGGCATGACAGAGAAAAGACAATCTTGAAATCCTACAATGAGAATAGTTGTAAGCAGGAAAGGAAGAGGGAAAAAAAGGTCTCCCCACATATTAAATCAGAGGTCCCCAAACTTGGCAACTTTAAGACTTGTGGACTTCAACTCCCAAAGTTACGCTGACTGGAGAATTCGGGGAGTTGAAATTTACAAGTCTTAAAGTTGCCAAGTTTGGGGACCCCCGTATTAAATGGATCAGTGGTCTAAAGTGTAATAAGCCAGGTTTGGGATAATAAATAACATGTCCATTAAAATAAATAAAAAATGTCCATTAAAAATTTTTTCTTTCTCTTGAATCTGAAGTACTACAGTATCTCAGCCAGTTTACGTTTAATTCTAACAAGGCATAAATTATAACTTGCAGTCAAAGATAAGGGGCAGAATGGACCGGTAATAAGACCTAGCTTTAAAAAATTGGCTATGATTCTGAGCCTCGGGCGCTACATGAACCAAGGGCCCCGTCTTGCTTGTATGTACTTGAATTAGATGTTTTAATGTTTTTTGTTTTTGTTTTAGCGGTTTAATGGTTTTAAAGAAAGAGTCGTGGTGATGCAGTGCTTAGATTGCAGGACTGCAGACTAATTCTGCCCCCAGCCAGAAGTTTGATCCTGACCAGCTCAGGGTTCACTCAGCCTTCCATCCTTCCAAAGTCGGTAAAATGAAGACCCAGATTGTTTGGGGTAATACGCACATATTTGTAAACTGTTCAGAGAGTGCATTGTGAAGCAGTGTATAAGTCTAAGCGCTGTTGTTATTTTTAACATTTTTATTGTTTTAAAATATTTGCAAATTGGGTTTTTTATGATCTTAATTGTAGTATGTGTTTCTCAATAGTGAGCTGCCCTGAATTGTTGGGCAGCTATAGAAATCAAATAAATAAATAAATAGACAAAATACTATCTTCCCTACCATGTACATCTGTAATAATGTTTATTTCTGCTTTCTTAAATAAATACGTCTTTTTTTCCTTTAAAAAGATTTTCACAAATGTAAGCACATTTCTACTTCTAGGGTCCCTGGGTGTAACATTTCCGTCTATAAAGAAAGCTAAATTGATCTGTTATGCTCCTTATTGCCTTCCCAGACAAAAAGTAAATTCTTTCATGGTCTCTGTCTCAGCATCAAAAAGGTGGCAGATGAAGACGTTTCACTTAATCCTTTAGGATTTATTTGCATAATACGATTTAACTGAGATTTGAATAATAATTAACAATGGAATTTAATATAAGAGATCTTGAAACCTTTGTAAAATTCAAAGTCACCAAGCTTCTATTGCACAAAAGAAAAAAAGGAAGGAAACAGTGATGAATTCAAAGTCTAAATGATATTAAAATAAGAGTGAATAAATGGGATTTTTCAGCGTAGCTGTTGCACTTTCCAATGAGCTTATCATCTAATCAGCAAGGGCATTTTTTTAAAAAACAGAACAAGGCAGAACACAATACTTTTTTGAAGCATCAAAACTGAAAGCATGCTATATCCTTTTATTATTTTATTTTTAATTTATTCGTACAGTTAAAAAAACCATAAGAATTACCAGTCGCAGAAGAACTCCACTCTCTAGGCAGGGATGGGTATGTGCCATTATCCCCGCTGAACAACTGGGCATCAAGAATCATTGCAGGTCTACAGATAAGTCATTCAGTTGTCTAGCTTCTGCCCATCTTAAACTTGTGATATATAGAAGATGGTTTGTGTGAAAAGTTGGTATTTGCAAACCAAGAAAAACCTTTAACCACTTCAGTTTTTTGCAACTTTCTTCAGACATGCTTTTTTAGGGGGCAACTGGACTTTCTTGTTTTTTTTTTTTTTTTAAGATGTTTCGCTTCTCATCCAAGAAGCTTCTTCAGCTCTGACAGGATAGTGGGGAATGGAAGGATTCATATTCCTTTTAGACAGCTGGTCAATTTTTCTCTGGAAATCCGTTCTTACTCCCACACTATTCAAAGGGTGCTCACTGCAAATTGTATGGCTAAAAGTTTGTAGAGATTCTCAGTCATCCAGGTCAAGGTTGTCCCAAAG